ACGAGACCTGGTGAAGAGTACAAAAAACACTTTGACAGTCTCCAGATTGTCGCACGTATGTGAGGCAAAGGTTGCAGTAGAATACATAACGTCAACGCTAGAGAATAATCAGTCAGTATATTTATTAACTCGAAGTTAGAATGCTTCTTCTGTATTATGAAATAAACATTCATTCTGAAAAAAATTCCTTTTAGAATCGTATGTGCTGGACGAAAAACATTTGTTTGTGCTTCTGATATTGAAATGCAAACATCCTTAATCAATTATCCTATTACATTTCGTTCGAGCATGCTTCTTCTACCTAGATTTGAAAGAGCTTCATATGACTTGCTCTGAAGTTGTTAATCAAGGTTACAGCATTCAAAGTGTTGTATACTAGACACGTGAAGGACATTTCCTAACTTTACGCATCAGTGACAAAATTATGTCCAATGCAATTTCCAAATTTGACTTGCAGCATATGTTCCCAAGATCCTCGGAATGGTACAGACTCTGCTTATAGCAGAGAGTTCTTATGAATGTGGAAATGGTCTTGTCGCTCTTATTTAGATGTTCCATGGTAACTGTCCTTGACTATTTGACTTTGCAACAGCCTATGCATGAGCTGTGCTGGGTGCAGCATTTTTATGCAAACTATTTCTGTCGGATGGTACCGGTAGCGCAGGTCATGCTTGCCTTTTTCGCGAACACCTGGTGTCATCACTGATATTTTCAGGGATCTATTTATTTAATCATTTTCATCATTATGTTGCCTGTTATGCTAATGGGTCTATTTCGGCAGAAAACTATATTGATCCTTCAAGTGTGTCTCAGAGCGAGCGTGTGATACCGCACGAGATACAACCGATTCAAATGTGGATCTTAAAAACAGTAATTGACCTGGTGTCATTGACCTGGTGTCGCAATTGATTTTGTTGATTGCGAGGCGTACATTTGTCTTTAAGAGTAGTTCAGACTGTGTTGTATCACTGGTAGCATTATTAAAACAAATATTGCCCGTGCAACGTCATCATAAGCACCAAAAAGACACAATGCTCTATGGTTTATTTTGCAGTTTAATTACTCATGTATATGGAATACTGTTATTTACTGGATACGTCTTGGTGACAATAAGTTTAATGTTATGAGTTTGTTCCCTACCCTCAAACTTAGTTTAACAAGCTTGCAAGGTTTCGGTCTATTGCGCCGTCTTATCGCTCATACTGACGCAAAAGATATAACATCACAGTCGTATATGAAAAAGCACCAAATTTCAAGCTGTCAATTTTCAAGAATGCGTACTTTTCTGTACACATAACCTTCTGCGGTGATGTGGTAGTCAAATCTTCTGATTCAATCTGGTTGGGTTTTTTTATTTACCGATGAGATTCGAGTAGTTTACAAATTCATGGCATAATAGGCGCCTGTGAGTGTTAATTATAAGTACAATACATAATCATCCAATACGTATGTAAAACAAGTATTCCTATTTAGATGTGTACACATTGTTTTCAACTTATACTAACCCGGTTTTATGGTGCTAGTTTTTTAGCTGCCATGCGCTAGTTTAATATGGATATCCTATACATTATAATGGCTACCAGTCGGTGTTTTAACCTCTTAATGCTGAGCGCCAGGCATATGTTAAGTACAATGTACCATATTTTAACGTCGTGTGGTATGACGCGGCAAGGGCTTCGAGCCACCAACCACTCGCTTTTTGGGAATACGACCTAACCGGTCGCGAAGATAAAAACGTCACATGTATTGATATTGTAACATGAGGGATGGGTACCTCAGATTCAGACCCTTTTTCACTAGACGACCTTTGACCCAGTTATTTCGTTCCACGGCATAGCTTTGACCTCGACCGTAACGGTAAACGTTGTAACATTACACGCGCAGGACCGGTACCTTGGCCCTAGATATTTGTTACACTGCAGTACCTTGGATCTCTCTGCCCGTTATGATCAGGGTGAGAATAGGTCAGCAACCAATGCTTGCCGTTAAAGGCGACAATGCTCGAAAGGGGCGACTAACGGGATCGGGTGGTCAGGCTCACTGACTTGGTTGATGCATGTCATCGTATCCCAATTGCGTGGGTCGATGCTCATGATATCGATCACAGCATTGTCTGGTCCAAAATCTATTATGTACAGACCGCCGTTTTATAACTGGAATATTCAACAATAACAAAGAAACAAACCTGTGATCTCGATCGTTGTTTCACTACACGTGCAATACGGATACCTCGGACCCAGATCGTTTATACACTACACAGGGGCGGTCGGGTAGCCTTGTGGTTAAAGCGTTCGCTCGTCACGCCGAAGACCCGGGTTCGATTCCCGACATGGGTACAATGTGTGAAGCCCATTTCTGGTGTCCCCCGCCGTGATATTGCTGGAATATTGCTTAAAGCGGCGTAAAACCAAACTCACTCAGTCACTATACACTACACGTGCAGGACCGGTACCTCGGACCTCAATCGTTGTTACAGTACACGTGCTGGATGGGTACCTGGAATCTAGATTGTTCTTACGCTACACGTGCATGGTGGATGACTGTGAGGATGAGGAAGGAAAGATAAGTTGTCACAGGCAAGCAAGACAGCCGTTCGATGTGTGACCCGCGAAGATCCGTGGTAGAATAGGTCTTCAGCAACCCATGCTTGCTGTAAAAGGCGACTACGCTTGTCGTAAGAGGCGACTAACTGGATCGCTGGTCAGGCTTGCTGACTTGGTTGATGCATGTAATCGATCCTTCGTGGATCGATGTTTATGATGTCAATCACTGGACTGTCTGATCCAGACTCGATTATTTACAGACCGCCGTCATAAAGCTGGAATATTGCTGGGTGCGGCGTTAAACAACAAACCAAAACCAACCGATCGATATGTCGAAGCGACTGTAAAATCTAGAAAGATAGTAGGAAAGCAGCCATGTTTCTACCAGTCTCCATCTCAGCTATTTTGTCCGATATTGTGGCAGACAGTTGATGAACGTTCACTTCATTTCGCTAATTACCAACTCGATTCATCACGGCTGTGTCTTTTACGTATGTTATTCATCACGGCTGTGTAAGAATTGGATTCTCCTAGCCGAGAAATGGCTGAGTTCAAAGATCGGTCGTCATACGAGCAGAAAGAAACGGAAAGGAATTAAATACAGATACTACATTGTCAAAATGTTAAGAGACCGAGGCTTGTTCATGGTTTCCCCTTGGAGACATAGACGTTTTCCTTCTCTTCGCCTAGAGTCTGTTAAGATTTCCGTTTTCAGACCCGGGAAGATCCGGGGTAGAATAGATCTTCAGCAACCCATACTTGCCGTAAAAGGGGACTATGCTTGTCGTATAAGGCGACTAACGGGATCGGGTGGTCAGGATGGCTGACTTGGTTGATGCATGTCATCGATCCCAATTGCATGGATCGATGCTCACGATAGTAAACACTGGATTGTTTGGTCCAGACTCGATTAATTACAGACCGCCGTCATATAGCTTGAATATTGCTGAGTGCGGCGTTAAACAACCAACCAACCAATCCTTAATGCATTTTGAACATATGCGCATGAGAAGGTATGTTGAAAAAATCTGCATGGGTAAACACACCGCTAGAGCTTGGAGTTCATTGCTCAGAGTTGAGCCCTTATGCTGTTTCAAGATGCAAAGATAGTATTGAGGTAAGTATACCAGATTCGTCATAATTTTAATCGTAAGTTATGATGACTTAAGTTGTAAGCGCCTAGCACTTGCATCACTTTACGCTTACTTTCAGCATGAACACTCTTTGCGTTCTAGTTAGCCTGGATGGAGAGGATGGTGAACAAAGCTAAACTGTGTGTATTGATTCACTCGTTTGCTTTACAACAATCGGCTGATGGTAGCCAATAGCGTCGGCTGGATGTGACGGGTGTATGTAACAAACAATATGAAAATCTATCCTTGTAAATCGTCTTTTAAATGTGTAAATTTAGTAGAATTGGAAAAAGACATATTCTGATTGTTCCTAAACTCTAAAATATGTTGACTCTTGTACTCTTAAATCATCAAGTCCACTAAGCCGAATGCAAAACTATTCAAATTTCTGATTTTAAATACTTATACAAAAGGTATCGCGGACACGATATTAGCAGTGGAGTTTCTGCTCACTTTAAGTGCTACAGGAGCGGTAGCCTAGTGGTTAAACCGTTCGCTCGTCACGGGTTCGACCCGGGTTCGATTCCCGACATGGGGACAATGTATGAAACCCATTTCTGGTGTTCCCTGCAGTGATATTGCTGGAATATTCTTAAAAGAGGCGTAAAACCATACTCACTCACTCAATCAAGTGCTACAACCATTTTAAATATGGCGCCCACTCTACCATGCATTCATCGCGTTCTCACAAAGACACGTGAGTCAGTTTGAACAGTTATCCTTGTCAAAGAAAATGCTTTCAAAAATAATAACACTTCGGATTATTGAAAAACGAAATTGTCGCAATGTTGGTATTTTAGAAAATAATATTTAGTCGCATTAAAAAAATACCTGGTTTTGAAGCTATAGCTAAAATAAATATATAGTCTAAAAATCCATGTCCATTTCTGTAAAATGACACCTGTAAAAATCCGGGTTGAAATTGACCTTCTGCAACACGTGCTTGTCGTAAGAGGCGGTGAACGGGATCGGGTTGATGCATGTCATCGTATCCCAATTGAGTAGATCTTTACTCATGATATCAGTTACTGGATTGTCTGTTCCAGATTCCATTATTTACAGAACATTGCAGAGTGCGACGTTAAACGACAAATAAAAAAACTCATGATTAGATGCAGATACTTGAATGTAAACGATTATTGCCTTTAAGCTGGAACTACATGACGGCAGTTATGATAATCCTATACCTAGGCAAGAAGTTCTATTTTACAAGGCCTTCGTTTTACATTCTTCATCATGGAACATTACATTCTACACGCCATTATCCCAAACCCGTCACAAAAAACATATAAACAAAGACGTGACATTTTCAACTTTATTGTAAGAAAGAAATGAATCGTCGTTACTATTCATTCAAGAAAACCGCAGTGAACATGGAATTAAACGGAAGGTTTATGAAAGTATATGTGACGAATACAGTCGCAGAATCGAGTGAGAAATTACCATTGAGAACATTTAAATAATTTCTATAATTAGGAGCAATCAAATTGTTTGAAGTAGCTATATTTTTGTCCCACACAAAACAGTTGTAAGTACCAAGGGTATTTGTATATAGTGCCATTAGTGTACCCGTCGTGTCTAATTTGTCATCATCAATCGAATAAACCAGTCGCCTGTGGGCTACGGCAGAAGTCGTCCAATTCAATGTTGGATGTTCGGTGAGGAATATTTTATGTTCCTAAGTTTACGAATAAGAAACTATAGGGCTACATCACACCACACCAGCGGACATTGTTTTGTATCGGCACGTATATTCATGAAAACAATTGTGAGGTCAAGTACGTAAGTGAGTAAGAGGGTTTATGCGGTAGTAATCAATACTACTATTATTCTTGAAGGCTTTAGATAAGGATAAACAATTTTACTTTCAACAGCATATTAAGGATGAAAATATGACCTGACTTAGACTTAGAGATAAAGCATCATTCCAGGTACTTGGCGGACCTGTAACAGGATCACCCATGGTCACTTGGATGGCCACTGAGCATATAGACATGGATCTTGTTAACAGCCTCTCCGTCAATACCATCCTTCCAGAACACATCAGTTGTGTCCCCGCCCCAGAAAGTGTCTGTTGGTTTCAGCCGCCCAGTTGGATTACACTCAGGAGGGTTGGTAAACCAGAAGCCAGACTTTGTCACACCAGCTGCCCCGGAGTGGTCCACATCTGGGGTACTGAAGGGCGTGTCGCTCACAAGAGACTCTGCTGGATGCTGCACCCATTCTATGTTAGGATAGTTGGAGGAAAAGATCATCTTGTAGTCGTCTACTTCCGGTCCTACCCGGAAGTCCTCGTAGATCCGCTGCGCTAGTTGATTGAAGTGGTCAGCACCGGGTGTCCTAAGTTCAATAACAAGGTACTGTCTTCTGCCACTAGTTATGTAATGTACATTGTCATTGCCCAACCAGTGGTCACCTGAGAGACTACCGAACCCCATCTTGTACTCCTCCCACGTCCTGGTAAAATTCTCATTTCCTGAAGTCTGGGTCATGATAAGCGTCCTTCCTCCATACATCATGAGACAGTGGACCTCGATCGGCCCAGGAGCACCGTTCGGATGGCACAGGAAGTTAGCGTCTTGATTGGCATAGTAACTGTAGAGGTTCCCTTCAGTGCAGTCTGAAATGTACAAAGTGTACAGTACTAGTTATATTACAAATACCGTTACTGCTAGTAGTAGTAGCAGCAGCAGCAGCAGCAGTAGTAGTAACGCCTCCGTGTTCTAGTGGTAGAGCGTTCTGGTACTATAAGTACTAATACTGATGCTCCTTCTTCTATTACTACCGATGCTGCTGCCGACACTACGATTACCAACACAACCACTTCCACTGCAGCTGCTACAGGGAGTGTAATAAACTATCATTTCGTCTAGACATCATTCAAAGCAGCGGGGCGCAGTCGTCAGCTTCACACACGACATTTATCCCACTGCCAGGACCAGCACACAAGAGAGTGGGGCACCCTCCCCTTTGAACAGATGTTGCCTCTGGTGTTACTGGTGTGACAGTTATCCTGTACACACTAGAACTGATGAATGCAATACAGGGGCCACTATACTGTGACTCTCTCACTAACAATGCTGACATTGAATTGACCCAGGACGTACCTTGCATGAGCCTTTTGCACAGGTCGCCAACGTAGCCGCCGTAACAGACGCAGGTGTTGCTTGAAACGTCATAGTCTCCACCGTGAAAACAAGGGTTGTCAATCTGTGAATAGAAATACCTTCAGTTCGGAGAATTTATGATTTTTTTTAATACAAAACGATCTGCGATAAGCACTGCAAACTATACGCGTAGACGCACGTTTAAAGATGTTGTCAGAGTAATGTCACCAGCAGCCACCTAGCAAGCATTGGACATTTTTCGCTTAGACATCATGTAGTCTTTAAAATGGCAGGCACATTCAAAGTACATATTTGTAAATGGGATGTGTGTTATATGACACATATTTGTGTGAGTGAGTGAGTGAGTCATGATTTATAGTCACATCGGCAGCATTTCAGCCATATCGTGTCTTGACAGTGTTATACATTAATAATACCATATCGTATAATGGAATAACATCATCTCACTTAACTGTCAAACATTGGAGAAGATTACGATAAAACAGTTTATATTTGTAAGTGCCCATTTTGCCAAATCATCAATTATTCATTGAATAATATTGCCAGTCAATCATGATAAAAAAAAACTGTACCCATTTGCTAAGGTATATTTAAAATTGAAGTGAATTTAATTTGAAGTATGGAATGCAACAGTGGCTAAGAATTTGGTTAAAAAGATCTCAGTATTATGATCAGTTGTTTTGCCATAAATAGAACAGTACTGATTATATGATGACCCAAACAGGAACATCTGAGGAATTTTACAAAGGCCAATTTATCCTTATTCTAGAAAATATATAGGAAGTATGTACTAAAAATCTAAACCTGGCAATTTTCAGAAATGCTCCACATTTCTCAGGAAATCCCAAGGAGTGCCCTTTCATGAATACAGAAGCTAATTGCTAATTGCCACACATTTATTTATCCCCATGGTCTTCATCAACAGGCTAGTCCACTCCATGTACAGGAGATGTGTGGCTGTAGTCAACGCCCGTGGTGGCCACACCAGGTCCTGATTTTGAACCCCCCAGCTGTGATGTCTTCTGGTGCCCCCCCAAATTCACAATTCGCAAAAGCATTCCCTAGACTGTTAATTTCATGTGGGTCAAACACTGACTTTCCCCGGGGTCTTTACTTACGTATATAAGCATTTGAAAATAAAGATATTTATATGATACATCAACATGACTTTTCTTTTGCCTTTCAGTGTATTATGAAATAATACTTATCGGACATTCATGAAACGTCACAGATTTATTTGATCGATTCTTTGTCTTGATGTGCAAATGACTAATCATTTTTAGATTCCCTCTCTACAGCGACCACCTGGTTGCCATATGCAGGTTTTATGAACGGGTTTATCACCCTTGACCCTTTTAACCGATTTCTGTCAAACTTACTGTAGAACAAAGGTTACCTTACGATACTCTACAAGGTAACCCCATTTCCGTTACTATTCTATACCATAGCGACTCTGGTTGATTGAAATGTAGTTATTGTCCAATCGTAAATGTTACACTGTTATTTTACAAATATTGTATATTTTAATTCAAATGTCTCCCTACAATTGTTAAATTACTTGGCGTCGTCGCTGGAGTGTTAATACATTATGACGTCACAGTTGTAATTTATGACGTCACCATAAGTATGACGTCATAATATATGTCATTGTCAGTTACACTGAAGAGCTGTCATGAGACAGCGAAAGTACTATGTCTGAAACTGATATAAAGAAGATGATTGACTAACGTGGACTTTATTATTTTATTATATATATATATATATATATATGTGTGTGTGTGTGTGTGTTCGTGTGTGTGTGTGTGTGTGTGTTCGTGTGTGTGTGTGTGTGTGTGTGTGTGTGTGTGTGTGTGTGTGTGTGTGTGTGTGTGTGTGTGTTATGGAAACCCTACCACGATGCCTACACCCATGAACCTATAACTGCTTCGGCGGATGCGACTTTTCGGAGCAGACCAGACTAAGTCGAACATGGTTGTTAGATGGACAGTTAAGCATACGCCAGAACCATATGACATTAAAAACATTAGGAATTCGAAGGCAATGATGTTGATGTTGAGAAAAACATAAGTATCGTGTCGAGTCAAAAATAGCCATCGCAGGGTCAGATGGCAATACGTCACATAAACCTTTCGGTCATCTTGCATGTATGGAAAACATTAAACTTGCAAGAATTGTTCTATGGGAAATTAAATTCCTCCCGCATTGCAATCGCAATGGAAGACATGATCACAACCTCAGTTTTTCATCTGAAGATTATATGAAATAGGGTAGAGCTTTTAAAGGAGCAATCAGAGTCCTACATTCCATTGCACGATAACAACCTAACCTATGTGCTTGAGTTTGGAGTACCATAACGTGGCAATTTACAAAATTTGCACGAAATCGGTTCATTTCTAAATTTCGAGCAATCAGAGGCCTCCGTTCCTTTGCCACGGTAACACAATGGTAACGGAAATGAAGCCATATTCGTACAGCGTCCGTAGCTACACCTACGTATATATCTGAAAGAAATCGATGTAGTAGTTTGTTGTCAGGCCAAATTGAAATGACGAAGTAACAAAGGACTAACTCTGCCCAAATGAAAAAATAATTGCAATGTGCCCAACTACATATTGAAGTGGTCACGTGTACGACGTTTAATTGAAATAAGTGAATTAGTTTAGAAGAAATCTTTTATAGTGTCCCTAGATACACCTTTGTACTAAGATTGAACAAATTCGGCTAAATTACATGTTGGCAATGACCACTGAAATGAAACCTGTAACTAACGACGAGGTTGTCGTTGTTGAGACCAGATTGTTGGAATATGAAAGGCGCAGTGCACTTACACAAGTTCCATGGCTCTACTATATGTAGTTGAAGAAAGAAATTATTCCAGTACGAATAATAAAATAACAATGAAAAATAGGAAAAGGTACCCTATATTTCCAATAAAACTTTGTTTCTAAGCATCTTTTACAATAAGGGGCGATATGTACGACATGAGCCCTTGATGTAAAGAATTTTTTTTACATTAAAGAGTGCGGGTTGTTACTCCTTATGTAAAAAAATACGTTGAGAGTTAACACGTTACCCTCAATGTAACAAAATTTACATTGAGAGTATTTTTTACATTAACGGTTGTAACAGATCCTATTTAATATATACATCACTTGTGGTTGACAGTGTTTTTATAAACAAATTACCAAATACAATTAAAACGACAAATCTAAATTCTCCCTATTTTTCATATTGACCTATTCACACAATGACTTTCTGCACGCAAACAAGATGTAGCGCTAATTTTTATTAAATAATTAAAAATAATACTACACTCCATACATTACATGTATTAATTTTTGTAGTAATTTACGTACTGCTAAAATTTTATTTCACTTCTTCTGAATTAATGAATACTCATTTTCTGTTTGCGGTATTTAATCTAATTTCCAAGCGCATTAAAATATCAAATTTTAAATGACAAATATGGCGTCGAACGAAGCAAGGAGGCCCGATCGTTTAGCAATACCTTTGAAGCATAGTTGCTCAAATAGGAAAGTTTTAAACACATAACGCATAAGAGCTGGTATCCAGTAAATCTATATATGTATTTCGATATTCACAGTAACGATTTACAAAGCCTCATGATCCCATTAGTGTCTTACACCATCAAATATGTACATTCTCATATTTCAAAATTAATGTTTTGTGTTTGTAATTTTTATATTGTTCAAAGCCTTAACGCAAAGGTCGATAATTTCACAAGATCAATATCTTGATTTTATATCTGATGATGAATAAAAAAACGTTTTACGTAGTTATTCGTACGTTCTGCTAAAAAAACGTCAAATATCTCGCATTCTCGAGATGGAAATATTGTAAGTCCATTAATATTAAACCGATAAACAATAATACATAGGTTCGTCAAACAGGGGATACGTTGCACGAGTATGAGGAACCTGATAGTTGTCCAGACTCCTTCTCTTAAAGCAACAGACTCTCAGCCATCTTCAGTACCGCCCTTTCTCTATTCCCATGTATCCCAAACTTCCATGAATATGTGGGAAATATTTTGCCTTTGATTTCATTTTGATGAATATATGTCGATGAACACCGAAAACTTGTGAAAAGTATAACAGTGTATATATGGTCGCACGGATGTGAGGCAAAGAAGCAGAAGAATCAATGGAAAGTGCAGTGACATACAACGTCAACGCCAGAGAACATTATATGAATGAATCGATGAAATTTAGTGATGACACAAGGTGTTCGCGAAAAGGGTATCCATGCCATGCCCTGCCCTACCGCCACAAGCATGCCCTGCCACTCCAATTTGCATAAGAAAATAAGTGTTTGTTTGCTGCCCATCATCGCACCTAGCAATAATCCAGTGCAAAGTCTACATGACTATTTCTATGGAGCAGTTAAAGAAATTATTGTTATACTTCTATGAAGAAGCTTGCAATTCCATTAGTTAATCCGTACCACGTGACGAAACAATGCATTTCAGTGTAGACTTCTAAGTCATGTGACTGTCACTGACCTCAATATTGACCTGTCACGTGGTGAATATTCACTCGTCTGTTAGAAAACAAGATGGCATCTGGTGTACTGACATTTTACAGTTCGCAGCAAGTTACTGTAATGAAACAGAGGACGGTAAAAAGGTTTCACAAACTTCAAAGAGAATTTCCGAATTAGAAAACGAATGGTTACGCTTGACGAGGTCAATATTCAAAGACAAGCACCCCTTCGGCGGTCTGATGGGACCGCGACGTGCGGATCGATTTAGGTTTCTCTTCTTCAATGTGATAAAATACAAACGAATGTTTTTCGTCCAATAAATACGGTTCTAAAAGGTTTGTTTTAAGAGATAATGGTTATTTCATCATACAGAAAGAACATTCTATCCTCAACGTTACATTATGGATCTGATAAGTGTCTGTCAGTGCAACTGATTCGAATATGGATTTTAAAAGCAGTAATTGATCTGGCGTCTTTGATAACAACAGTTCTGTTTGTAGTGCTGAAGGACGTAGCGAAATTTGTGTTTCACAATAGTTGACAGACTGTGTCTTATCACTGGTAGCATTATACAAATAATTAGCCCCGTTTAATGTAAACGGCACTTCGTGTACAATCAATATATTCATCTAAGCTACCGAGCAAAGGAAAGTGTACAACCATGTTTGATGGAGCCTAGAAGGTTTGAAACAAGCAAGAAGTGGTTATTCCATGGTTATATGTTTGATTCAGGTATCATAGTTATATTTAACCTTAAGTATGCAGTGTTTCGGCGACCGTTTTGCAGCCCAGTAACGTTTTGATAACCTAGTCATTTGGTCAAATTTGATTTCAAGTGTATACTTTCTTTTGACCGGCAGTTTACCTAGAATACTGTTTATTTGGTACATTTTGCTCAGACATCTATCGACAAAAAATTGCTGTTATTTATTAGATCCTTCGAATTTTTGGGTTACATTAAATAATGTAGTTCTCCATCTTCAAGGGTTAAGGACAAAAAATAAAAATGTATGTCATCTGAAGTATACCGAGAAAACAATGTGAAATGGCGGCCTACACCTAGACACCATATGTGTGCAATAGGGGTTTATCTCAAATAGTCGAAATTTCGATCTTTTTCTCGTTATTTTGATTCATTTCTCTTTGCTTCGAGTATTTCTCGTTACTTCGATTATTATCTCGTAGTTTCGATTATTTTCACGTTATTTCAACTATTTTCTCGAAGTTAAGAGTTTTTCTCGTTTCTTCGATTTATTTTTCGTTATTTCAATTATTTTCTCTCAAATTCGAGTTTTTTTTAATGCATTTGAAATAACGAGAAAATAATCCAAATTACGAAAAGGTAATGGAAGGAACGGTAAAAAAATCGAAATGTCGAGAAAATAACAAAAAGTCTTAATTTAAAAAAGATAGATTGATGCTAAAAAGTTACCCACTGTACACGTGGCAATTGCGACTGTGTGCGAGTAAATAAAGATATTTAAGATAGCAAGGCCATAAATCCCCAAGAAAAATGTTGCAACACCACATATTTCAAGGGCAAAGTATGTTGCCCTGTCCTATACCCATCTGAAATGTGCAAAAAAGGCGTTAACATGCGCGATTATGCGACATATTGATAATTTCGCATTGTTGACCTTTTCCATTATCTGACATACTGTGGCGTTAAACAAAACTCGCTCACTCGCTTAATTCGCTGGGCAACGTTGCGTACCCCAGGTGTGCAAAAAGCCTCTGGTTTGGAAACCCCTGTCAGCACCATACCTTTGCTTTGGTGTTTGACCAAATTGGTATACGTCTTAGACCTGCATCACATGAAACTGACACGCTAATAATAATCGATAATACTCATGCCATCCCTCTTGACGCAACGATGCTTAGCTTGGTAAATTAAAGGCATATTTCACAAAAAAACGTTTTTGCGATGTATATATACATCTAAATTCATGAAGATTTTAATAAAGGTAAAGAGTGATGTAAAATGTGCTTTGCCCTGGATTCCAAGTGTCTCTTTCAAATTTGTTAGACTATACCCAGTCTGTTAGGACTTATATCCAGTATGTTATGTAGACAGTGGACAACTTACGTCATTATAGTGATTTAATGTGGGTCCTTGGCTCGCCGGAAACCTGTGATCGTGGTTTCGCACCAATTATGTTTGTCAGTACCCTACATGTGATCTAGGGTTCACCAAACTGGTAAACGTCTGACACCTGCATCGCGTCTGGCTTTCCTCTCACATTAAGTTGAGACGCCGTGATGTAACTGGAATACTGTTCAAAGCGACGTTAAAGAATACACACTCACTCATACATTAAAGGACCCGTGACCAAAAATCTGTGTGAAATGTATAAGGACTACTTACGTCATTATAGTGAATGTATTGCCCTTCACACTCGCCGGCTTTTAGGTATGCACTGTGCAGGTTGCAGAGTAGCGGCGCTGTCGTTTTAACCGAAAATGATTTACACGAGTCGTATCGTGCACATGCCACAGCACACTCCATCTGGGTCAGCACCGGCCCAGACATTGTGCTGGTGATGTCGTCACATGTCGTAATCTTTGTGAATCCTTTTGTCCTCAACCCAGCAGAGAGTGCAGAGAGGATGGCGGAGAGAAGAAAGAGAGTTGGTAATATTATCTTTAGAGATATCCTAGCCATGTCGTACTTTTTTCTGCACGATCAAGCGCCTTCACCTAATGACGTTCCGAGTTAAATACAGGCGACGCTCTATGGTGTCTGCCAATACGTAGATCCAATTGATTATTGAAATGACATGGATTGGTCGCTGAGATGAGCAAATGAAACTCACAAGGCTTAAAAGAGGCGTTATTGAATGTTAATGACTGACACAAACCTGCGTATTCAGCAATGTCACAGGTAGTGGAGGCAGGAATCAATCTTCAGAATAACAACACAAGGTAATGTTCTGCCCAGATTTTCCTTACACTACACGCGAAGGACATATGTCTCACAACCAGATCGTAATTCACCTACACGTGTAGGACACAAACTTCTCAGCCAGATTATTGTTACACTACACGTGTAGTATATATACCTCACATCCAGATCGTTGTAACACAACACGCGTAGGACAGGTACAATGTACCTCACACCAGATTGCAGTTGCACAACTCGTGTAGGGCAGGTTCCTCTCACCCAGGTTATTGTTACATAACACGTGTAGGACACATACCTCACACCAGAGCATTATTCACCTACACGTGTAGGACATATACTTCTCACCCAGATTATTGTTACACAACACGTGTAGGATATATACCTCACATCCAGATCGTTGTAACACAACACCAGTAGAACCTACAGATACCTCACATCCAGATCGCTGTTACAGAACACGCGTAGGACAGGTACAATGTACCTCACGCCAGATTGCAGTTACACAACTCGTGTAGGACAGGTTCCTCTCACCCAGATTATTGTTACACAACACGTGTAGGACATATACCTCACAGCAGATCGCTGTTACACAACACGTGTAGGACATATACCTCACACCAGATTGCAGTTACACAACACGTGTAGGACATATACCTCACAGCAGATCGCTGTTACACAACACGTGTAGGACATATACCTCACACCAGATTGCAGTTACACAACTCGTGTAGGACAGGTTCCTATCACCCAGATTATTGTTACATAACACGTGTAGGACATATACCTCACAGCAGATCGCTGTTACACAACACATGTAGGACATATACCTCACAGCAGATCGCTGTTACACAACACGTGTAGGACATATACCTCACACCAGATCGCTGTTACACAACACGTGTAGGACAGTTTCCTCTCAATCTGATTATTGTTACATAACACGTGTAGGACATATACCTTACACCAGATCGGTGTTACACAACATGAGCAGGACAGGTTCCTCTCACCCAGATTATTGTTACATAACACTTGTAGGACATATACCTCACAGCAGATCGCTGTTACACACCACGTGTAGGACATATACCTCACACCAGATTGCAGTTACACAACTCGTGTAGGACAGGTTCCTATCACCCAGATTATTGTTACATAACACGTGTAGGACATATACCTCACAGCAGATCGCTGTTACACAACACGTGTAGGACATATACCTCACAGCAGATCGCTGTTACTCAACACGTGTAGGACATATACCTCACACCAGATCGCTGTTACACAACACGTATAGGACAGTTTCCTCTCAATCTGATTATTGTTACATAACACGTGTAGGACATATAACTTACACCAGATCGGTGTTACACAATATGAGCAGGACAGGTTCCTCTCACCCAGGTTATTGTTACATAACACTTGTAGGACATATACCTCACACCAGATCGCTGTTACACAACACGTGTAAGACAGGTACCTCGCACCAGATCGCTGTTACACAACACGTGTAGGACATATACCTCACACCAGATTGCAGTTACACAACTCGTGTAGGACAGGTTCCTATCACCCAGATTATTGTTACATAACACGTGTAGGACATATACCTCACAGCAGATCGCTGTTACACAACACGTGTAGGACATATACCTCACAGCAGATCGCTGTTACACAACACGTGTAGGACATATACCTCACACCAGATCGCTGTTACACAACACGTGTAGGACATATACCTAACACCAGATCGCTGTTACACAACATGAGCAGGACAGGTTCCTCTCACCCAGATTATTGTTACATAACACTTGTAGGACATATACCTCACACCAGATCGCTGTTACACAACACGTGTAAGACAGGTACCTCGCACCAGATCGCTGTTACACAACACGTGTAGGACATATACCTCACACCAGATTGCAGTTACACAACTCATGTAGGACAGGTTCCTCGCACCAGATCGCAGTTACACAACACGTGTAGGACATATACCTCACACCAGATCGTTATTCACCTACACGTGTAGGACACATACTTCTCACCCAGATTATTGTTACACAACACGTGTAGGAAATATACCAGATCGTTGTAACACAACACAAGTAGAACCTACAGGTACCTCACACCAGATTGCAGTTACACAACACGTGTAGGACAGGTTCCTCTCACCCAGATTATTGTTACACAACACGTGTAGGAAATATACCAGATCGTTGTAACACAACACAAGTAGAACCTACAGGTACCTCACACCAGATTGCAGTTACACAACACGTGTAGGACAGGTTCCTCTCACCCAGATTATTGTTACACAACACGTGTAGGAAGTATACCTCACATCCAGATCGTTGTAACACAACACATGTAGAACCTACAGATACCTCACATCCAGATCGCTGTTACAGAACACGTGTAGGACAGGTACAATGTACCTCACACCAGATTGCAGTTACACAACTCGTGTAGGGCAGGTTCCTCTCACCCAGATTATTGTTACATAACACGTGTAGGACATATACCTCACAGCAGATCGCTGTTACACAACACGTGTAGGACATATACCTCACACCAGATTGCAGTTACACAACTCGTGTAGGACAGGTTCCTATCACCCAGATTATTGTTACATAACACGTGTAGGACATATACCTAACAGCAGAACGCTGTTACACAACACGTGCAGGACATATACCTCACACCAGATTGCAGTTACACAACTCGTGTAGGACAGGTTCCTATCACCCAGATTATTGTTACATAACACGTGTAGGACATATACCTCACAGCAGATCGCTGTTACACAACACGTGTAGGACATATACCTCACAGCAGATCGCTGTTACACAACACGTGTAGGACATATACCTCACACCAGATCGCTGTTACACAACACGTGTAGGACAGTTTCCTCTCAATCTGATTATTGTTACATAACACGTGTAGGACATATACCTTACACCAGATCGGTGTTACACAACATGAGCAGGACAGGTTCCTCTCACCCAGATTATTGTTACATAACACTTGTAGGACATATACCTAACAGCAGATCGCTGTTACACAACACGTGTAGGACATATACCTCACACCAGATTGCAGTTACACAACTCGTGTAGGACAGGTTCCTATCACCCAGATTATTGTTACATAACACGTGTAGGACATATACCTCACAGCAGATCGCTGTTACACAACACGTGTAGGACATATACCTCACAGCAGATCGCTGTTACACAACACGTGTAGGACATATACCTCACACCAGATCGCTGTTACACAACACGTATAGGACAGTTTCCTCTCAATCTGATTATTGTTACATAACACGTGTAGGACATATACCTTACACCAGATCGGTGTTACACAATATGAGCAGGACAGGTTCCTCTCACCCAGATTATTGTTACATAACACTTGTAGGACATATACCTCACAGCAGATCGCTGTTACACAACACGTGTAGGACATATACCTCACACCAGATTGCAGTTACACAACTCGTGTAGGACAGGTTCCTATCACCCAGATTATTGTTACATAACACGTGTAGGACATATACCTCACAGCAGATCGCTGTTACACAACACGTGTAGGACATATACCTCACAGCAGATCGCTGTTACACAACACGTGTAGGACATATACCTCACACCAGATCGCTGTTACACAACACGTGTAGGACATATACCTAACACCAGATCGCTGTTACACAACATGAGCAGGACAGGTTCCTCTCACCCAGATTATTGTTACATAACACTTGTAGGACATATACCTCACACCAGATCGCTGTTACACAACACGTGTAAGACAGGTACCTCGCACCAGATCGCTGTTACACAACACGTGTAGGACATATACCTCACACCAGATTGCAGTTACACAACTCGTGTAGGACAGGTTCCTATCACCCAGATTATTGTTACATAACACGTGTAGGACATATACCTCACAGCAGATCGCTGTTACACAACACGTGTAGGACATATACCTCACAGCAGATCGCTGTTACACAACACGTGTAGGACATATACCTCACACCAGATCGCTGTTACACAACACGTGTGGGACAGGTTACTCTCACCAAGATCATTATTACATAACACGTGTAGGACATATACCTCACACCAAATCGGTGTTACACAACATGTGTAGGACAGGTACCTCACACCAGATCGCTGTAACACAACACGTGAAAATTCATAATCATATCATGTGTACTAACGGGGAAAAGTAACTGTTCTTCATATAGAGTTCAATAATAATATATTTTTTTCTGAAAACAAGTAATATTTCCATACATATATAGGGAGACATATCACTGACTTTAAGATCGTGATTAACAATTTGCACGAGCACGGTAATGGATATACCGTGTTTGTTGGAGCATCATGCATATGTTTTTTTAAATATAAGCAGCATACAATGACTGTGTTTCTATCAGGAGTTCATTAGAACACTTTTGTTTGAATGTAAATAACGCTTACGCAATGCTCAAAATCAACGTCTTCGGGCCATGGGTATGTTGCAAACGATAATGGCACAAATCCAAGCTGCCAAACATTTTAATGTTCATCAAAACCCAACATTACCTTTTTGGAGACGTTTCCTGAAGCATGGCAACACTCATGACTTGCCATGGACCTGTCCTCCATGTGTGAAGTCGCGTCAACAAGATAACCACGGACATTTCCTGGTTTGAGACCAATTATTGGCATAACCAAACGCAACCGGTTGTGGAAGCAAAATATTCAGCCCAAACGTCCAGAGATGCTACCAACTTTGCTTCCA